TATGGGCGGCTCCTTGATAATGAGCCATCTGCACAATAGACTCATAGAAATGACTCAACTAGCATTTGTTGCAGAGTTCTGCTGTCAGTCACCTCCATTCTTCTGAGCAAATTCAACTCACCTTTCAAGTCTTAAATGACGTTGCATTGTTGGCGTTAGAATCAAGAATTTACATTTTATGCCTTGATTTGAAGATTTTTAGACTTAGCGGGGTAAAAAACCAAGGAACACGACCTCTCTTGGCTTTCTCTCTTTAACCAAAGACCTGTCCTCATTCCTTTGGTCTTCCGCAAAGGTCTGTGTTAGTGTACAGACGTGCCATTTTATAGATTATAGAACATTCCACCAGGTTTGTTTTTGTTGTTGTAGACTTGACGATAAGGAGAATGAAATACAAGTTTTGTTTTTCCCTTTACAAGACATAAGTTTTTTGAGTCACCTCCGAACATGTCCCGTGGGTCATCATCAAATATAAATTCACTGTCATGCATTGCCAACGTTTTTATCACAAAGACGAAGCTAACTTCGGTGAAATTTACTTTCATTGAAGCACAACCATTAGCAATTGAATGTGCCCGAACCATTCTTGACTTGATGCAAAATGTTTCAGAATCTCACCTCTCAATACATCAATTTTTTCAATCATACTCGTATATCCCTTTGTAAGAAATGCCTTATTGAGTATCTCTCTCCCCAGACTTATACTCAACAGTATGCTTGTCTTCTTAGCTGCAAACAACATTTTTGAGAGGTTTGTTTATGCATGTCACAAAGTATGTATGTAATTTAATGAATAAATGTGCAGAGTATACAACATGTAGCGTCTAAACAGCATTCTATTTGGACATGTTACATTCCTGCTCATTGATTGGTACGTGGCTTACCCCTTGCCATAAGTATTTTGATCATCATCTGACCCATAAAAGCAACAGTGCTAGCAACTGCTGTTGCTAACACGTGATGAAGTCTTAACCCACTCTCGCTTTAGAGCACAACTGCCACAACTTAAATGAAAAATATTCTTTTATTCACTTCACTTAACCATAGCTAACATGGTCTGAAAGCAATCATTTAAGTGTAAAAAAAACAAAAAAAGTTACACTGAAAGGCGCTACACACTAGTTTTGAAGGTTTTGTTGGCAGGTGCAAAGTGTGTTAAGTGTAGAGATGACAGAGTAAGACTATATCTATTCCTTTAGTAATCGAACCTGAATGTTTTATATTAATGTGAGTGTGCTTGCTAGTTGCAATATTGAACCTCTCCAATATTTGGAGATTTTTATTGTGTATAATTTATTTTATTTATTTTATTTTGTTTGATTTACCATTCAGTCACTTGGCAAACTCTAATCTTATTGGTTAATGGATGTGGAGGTAGTGTTTATTAATAGATAACTGAACGAGGTTGGGATATCCAATACTGGACATGCTCAACCTGTTTTTTGCTCTGGAATCAAGAAAGGTATGTGAAAGAAAAATTACTGCACCACAGCTAAACACAGCCACGAGGTTGCTCTACTATTTATGTTTTCCTCATTTTGGGCACGAAACACGTTGAACAGTGAGGAATAAATCGGCGTGAGAAAGGATTATTCTGCTAATGAGGGGTATGAATTTGGATGCACATGGGACTCTTGTGTTTTACTTTGTGTCTTCATTATACAAACGTAGCCTAGATACAACATGGATTGCACCTTAAGAGAACTCACTGCCAAGGGTGATGTCATAATATCCGCACACAGGTAAACAGCACAGAGTCGTTGGTGAAAATGTATTGCCAACATTGCCCTATGATCTAGAAAAGTAAGGTTGATTGTTCACACAATTGCATGGCAAAAGAAAAGAAAAGAACAATACAATTCAATTGACATGTCAAGATAATAAAAAAAAAAAATTTTTCTTTGTGTTTTTGTCCAAAACTGCCATTTTTGGTAGGATAGCAGCCATACGTAGACTCAAGCAGTTGAAAAAATAGACAACCCATTGTCATACTTAAGTGACACTGTCGTACATGCACTAATTGTGAATGCCTTGAGTTCTTCAAGGCACGTCCTGAAGCAGCCTTGCTAGAAATTTAATGAAAAAACCAGGGGAGTGTTTAGCAAGAGCACAAAGACCAAAAACCTACCAAATGACAATATTGTGAACATGAGTGCAGTTGTGAACATAGGTGCTTCGAGCTTTGATGACTTGCCCCTTACATTTCACCCTCTCAAACTATCTCACACTAAATCTAATTTTCAAATTTGACATCTGACCCATTATCTATGAGTGTGCCATGGGTACCACTCTCTATTAATTATTGCCAAATATTTTTGTATGGCCTGAGTTTACACATTACACCATCAATTCTCTGTTATAGATATGAATATATGTAAATAAAATAACATAATGTAACTAATAAGATAGCTCTTCAAACCTTCTGACCCCTGGAAATATACTATATTGCAGTCTGTCCTTTGTAGGTTTTCAGCCATCGGTCATGTTAAACAAGAAGAACTGGACTTATTGCTGTATGTGGTAATTAAGATTTTATTTCACAACTCATCTGAGAACTTGTCTTTAGGAGTCCAGGTGGCTCTTGTTTTAAAACTGCGCAGAAATAATGGCTTCAGAAGCCGAACTTGCCAGCAAGTCAGAAAGCAAAATTTGCCCAGATTCCCTCGTAAAAGCACACTGATAGTATATAAATGCACATTAACTGTACAATATAAAAGCCTAAGCATCAGCAGTTCTATTCTCTGTATGTCGTCCTGTATCACCCATGGAAATAAGAAACAACGATGTCAAGAATAACTGTTGTATTTGTTCACACATGGAATGCTGTTAAAATGCTAACCTGTCTCAGTGACTCAATTCAGGCTCCGTCCAAGTCAAGATTGTCTCTCGTAGATACATATCTTAGCTTATGTTACAGGGTTTTTTTTGTATAATTATAACTTGTTGCCTGAGCAACCGGCCAGTTGTGAGTGCAAAAAGTTAACAAAGCAATAAGTGTTTGGGTAATTGTCTCTAATTCTCTCCTTTGAAGCTATTGGGGATTGGAGCATGTTACTATACGCTGGCCTCGTCCACTAAAATGCTGAATGTTGCTTAGTAATGACACAGGACTAAACAGCTAACATTCGTGTGTGTATTCTCTAAAACAACCCTAGGTCTCGAGCTTTTGTCAATAAGATTTCATCGCCATTAAATAAATGTAACAAAAAATTATCACCTTGGTCATTGTACTGTGCTGTTAGAAACTGTAGTTGATTGTTGTGTAAGTATAGAAACTGTTTGTGAACCATAAATATAAAAAAAGTTATAAAAAAGAAGTGTAAATGAAACAATGATGTATGTGTGTTCTTTGATTTTGTGCATTTTGTAAATGAGAATGAAATATAAGTAAATACCTTAATGTTAAATACCAGTTATGAATCATAGGTAGCCTAAATGTGACAACATCAGTTCTGTTTAAAGGTGTGTGAGATTTTTTCTTATATTTTTCGATTGCTGGATTTTTGATTGGGTTTGCACTAGGTGGGTGCAACTGACCCTTTAGAATCACAAATGGATAACAAAAGAACCATGGATGAATAAACAAGTGGAAAAAAATATAAGAAGTCAATCTTTGTCGTTTCTTTATGTCTGTAAAATATTGGTTTTTATATAAGCTATTTCTGTCTAAATTGAAGCAATTCTCTTAAACTTTTAACTTTTGTGTAATACACACTATTTTTATATTTATTATGGAAAATCACTGGAGCAGAACAGCTGAGAATGGCTGCAACATAGCAGGCTTCAATTTGACTTTTATTTTCAATGCCTTTATGTCGAAATCTGACAGGAACCTCCATCATCCTGACTTTTATTTTAAATTTTTTTGTCTGAACCATTTTTTTTAGGACTTTTTTTGTATATTTTATAACCTATTTATTTCCTACAGGAAATAGCAAAAACGTAACATCATAGGCACGTTAATTGGACTGGGACAAACTGTTGTAGAGCCCAAAGACAGTAATACTTACCTGAAATCACCTTACTAGAAATGATTAAAAGACTAAATCTTCTAGAAGCGCTGCTGGAAAACTACAACGCGCCTTAAAACTAACAAACCAAGTGGTTTGTGCTTCCGGTGCGTGTTACGCACTGTTCCAGAGGCTCAACTGACTTCACTTGCAAGGTGAGCAGCTAAAAATCACTCTTTACTTTAGTTAACGTCTGCTTCTTAACTTACCCTTTAACTCAACTATACTGTTAAACACGGGCAGATATGTTATGTTTATTGGAGCTTTCGTTGTAAAGACTTTTACACTGTCTCAGGTTGCTTACGTAGTGGGTGATGTTTATAATGAAAGCTAACCGCTAATGCTAGCAAAATCAACATTGAATTTCACTGGCTGTACTTTAGCTTGAATGTTCACCTAACTTTGAGCAAGGCTGGCTCTTTAAAGGCATTGCCTTATTTAGAAGTAGTGTCACCAACTATATGTGCCACCAACTGTAATAGTGACTTGAGAGCCATTGTTTATTCCATGCTTTAACTTTAGCTTCCGCGCTAACCCGGTGCTAATATTTTCCCTTTGTCATCATGGTGTGTTGAGTGTAGATGGATGAGGGGGGAAATTCATTTGAACGATTTTAGCATGAGGCTGCAACATGACTAAATGTGTAAAAAGTGTGACGGGTATGAATACTTTCTGAATGCGTTGTAGTATAACCACGTCTTATCTCATCTGAACATACGTAAACATTATAAATACAACCAGTTGTACATGGCTACTGTTGCATAAGAGCTAAGTCCCTCCAGTATTGTTCTTGGAGGGTTGGTTGATTATACACCCCAAAGCCTGTTATTAAACTAAGATACCTGCTAGAACATGGATGTCTGTCCTGTCATTAAATAGGTTGTCATCTGTATTTATACCCATCTTGCTCTGTTAGGTGGTCTCCAGCCACAACCTCTAGATGCTCCCAGTGTCCTCCGCTGTATTCGGCCGATCTTCTATCACTCCTGCCTTAAGCCGGCCTCTGGCTCACTTTCAGACCACAAATGGACCCAGACCCCAAGCCGGCCTGTTGAGAGGGCTATCAGAACCAAACTCACCAACACGCTCAAGCCAGACCACTTAGAGGTACACAATGAAAGTCACATGCATGCCGTGCCCCCTGGTTCCGAATCCCACTTCCGTGTCCTGGTTGTTAGCGCCCAATTCAAAGGTCTGCCACTGAATACAGCGCCACCGTCTGGTTAATGATGCTTTGAAGGAGGAGTTGAGTAGCTGTGTTCATGCACTTGCTATACAGGCAAAAACACCTGAGCAGTGGGGGAGTAACCCCACCCTGGCTAAGAGTCCACCATGCATGGGAGGATCGAGGGGAGATCACACAATGGAGGAGAAACTGAAAGGCTGGACGAGAATGAAGTGCTGGACTATGAATCAGTGCTGGACTGCAATATGAGGAACACAGGTGAATGCTGTAACAGGGATATAAAGATTCATATTTGTTCCTCTTCCTTTTCTTCTTTTTCTTCTTTCCTTTTTGATTTTATTCACACATCCTGGATTTAATGGCATTAGGATTCTTAGGATGTTACAGATTTCAATACAAAAATGAGTTTCTGTAATTTTTCAGTCATAATAAAACCATCATTGTAAACATTAAGTTTGCAATTGTATTGAACATGTACATTTTGCTGAATAACTAGTGTCACATGGCTGTCGAAACAAATTCAGTACAAAAGGACAACAAACACTTAAATTCCACAGGACAATATGGCAACTTTTCCATGACAATACTCTCAATGATATCGGACTTATGGAGTAAAAATGCTAAAAGTACTCGTAGGGATTTTGCCTAAACAACATTGTTTTTGTTTTTTTTGTGAGCCCAGTCAGCTCTTTGTAGGTTGGTGTGTGTGTATCAGTACAAACCTCTTATGTGTTCTAGTATCACACGGCAATAGTAGTCAAGTTGTCATGTTTCCTCATTTCTACAAGTGAATGAAAGTAAACAGAATACTTAAAACATTGTAAATACATTTCTGCAATTCAAGATCGAAAATTTAAATAAATTATTTAAGCAGGCAGGATATTATTGAAGTCTCTTTACACATGCATTGGAAGTGGGAAAAGGTGGTAACACTTGAATTCAATTATAGTGTTCTTTAACATAACTATAAAATTATGGCCCGATATGAATATGTGAATTGTATTTGACTGAAACGAGGCAGTGTCATACTTTGAAGATCAAGTCTTAAGAATCAGGACCTTGCCTTCATTTACTAAGTGCTATATTCACATCCCCATATTGTACATTGAACTAGTCATTGAGAGCTGAAATCATTTGTCATGGACAGCAGGAACATTTGCAGTGACCAACATCTCTGGGCAAAAAATGTTAAGCCTTCCTTTCAAAACCTTTTTTACAAGATACACTATAACAGGCATTCTCCGGATGTACAGCATGTTATGCTCAAAGCAGATGAATCACAAACAAAGGGTGCTATTAGTCGCAAAAAGTTCTCATTTTGTGCTTTCAATGCATTTAATTATTGAAAATCATAAATGAGGCCATGTGTTTACATTCCTTCTTGGTGTCTTGAAGTAAACCCTTACCAAGTCTGTAAGCCTAGTCCGCCTTCTACAGGCTTGTGACCCAGCTGTAATTTTCACCAACATCCTTCTGTAAGGCCCAAATAATCACTTTCCTTCATTATGCTAGTGTAGAAAGAGTTGAAATTTTCAGTTACGCTTAATTACATTGCAACCATCTCAGACAACAGTATTATAAATGAATGGAAGCTGGTTTTTAGTGCGATAGTTGGCCAAGAGTTTTTGCTAAAATGTATTTCCGTGTTGTTGGACAGAGACTGATGCCCTCATGAGATGCCTGTGCTTCATGTCAATACCACTAAAACACACATGAGGGCAGTATGTGCACAAACTAAATGACAAATTGAACTGGGTGAGTGGGCTGATGAATACAAGATGTCTTCATTATTCCCCTTAATAAAGTTGAACATCAATTTCTCAGACAGTTTTCATTTTTTCATTCTTCAGTTGTACATGCTGTCAAACACAAACTGCTGATAATTAACAGAGGACTAATTTGTTAGAAAACTGGACACACAATATATTTTCATAACTTTAAAAATCTAACTATTAATCCACATACCAAATTTGGTGACACAAAATAATTACTATAGGTCACAACAGAAAATCAGTCTCTGGTCAAAGTATATGTTTCTGTTAAGCTGTGGTTGAGTAAATAATGGCTCGGTTATATTTTTATCATGCTCCTTGTCTCAGCTCTGCAGTGATTGGTTGAGTAAACCAGAGGACAAAAGTACAAAATGTTCGGGTAGTTTGCATTTGCTCTCAGCGAATGACGCACTCTAACACTCTACTGTGTGTGTGTGTGTGTGTGTGTGTGTGTGTGTGTGTGTGTGTGTGTGTGTGTGTGTGTGTGTGTGTGTGTGTGTGTGTGTGTGTGTGTGTGTGTGTGTGTATATATGTATATGTGGGTGGGCGTCTATTTTTGTCTTGGGGTTGTATGTGTCACTGTGAAGGTCTTCTTGTCCTTCCCTCAACCCTGATGATGGCCAAAGATCACTCCTCAAGCGTGTGAGAGAGATAAGACAACAGATATACGTAAAGGGGAAGAATAGTCATGTGGGGTCTTTACCAGCAAGTCTTTCCCCTAATTATCATTCAGCAGCAATATTCATTTGCTCCAGAAAGATATTTATTTAGATTTGATGCTACACAAGAATGAGACAACACCAAACATACTCATGGAGCCAAAGCAAACTTTTAATGCTTTGCTGCAAAGCTATTCAAAGTTATTGTTAGCTCATAAAGACAGCCCTTCGGTGGAATGTGGTCCACCTCAAGGTAATGCATGTCGTCTTCTACAATTATCCTCCGCCTGGAATTGACAGCCTGTCAGGCCTCACAAAAGGCTGTGGTGAGGAGGGTGAACAACTGGTGTCACTGGTTTGGAAAAAGGAAAACAGTAACACAACCACTTTATGACCCCTGCTCACCCATTAGAGCCAGGCCTAAGGGGGCAAGAAGCAAGGTTGTGGCTGTGGGGGGGTGGGAGCAATAAGCTGGGCTGCCTTGCCCGGGGACCCGCAGACTGTCTCTGCCGATAAGATTTACGTGTCACAATTCCAGGTGCCGTTATGATGGAGAGGGAAAAGATGTCAAGTCGTCAACGGTGATGAGGTGGAGTGCAGGGACTTGTCTGGCACTTAAAAGCTTGGGCTGTTTTACATGTGTGAGTAGTTCATCCCCTATTTAGTCTGTGACAGTTATACAGCAAAATAACAGGGTGGGTCAAGTCACCGTGAGAGATTGTAACTGATTCTAACCAGAGGTAAAAACACAAGTGCTCTGATTGAGTTTCTGTTTTTGTGCAGTTTTTCCTTTTCACGTACTACATATTCTAAGATCAGTAATTTAGCTTTTAGTTAAATAGATGTCGCTGTTGCAAAGAAGCAGTTTGCTCAACTACTTTAAGCAAGAAAAGCAGGAATTTGAGAGTAGCCTCCAGCTGTGCAATTAAAACCTAATCAGACGAAGACTCCACTTAAGGTTGTTCTGCACCTCGCAGGACAATCCTGAGAAAACTTAAAACAAAAGATGGTCACTGGTTTGGTTGGTTGGACATAATGAGACAGTTACAATCAGGATCCCACTTTCACAATGACTGTATTCTAGTGCTTTTCTACTTGTGGAGTAGCTTCTGTTTGTGTTCTTGAAATACTTGATCTACTTTTTCCTGCCTTTGTAATTGCTCAGAGTCCATTTTACTGCACAGGTGTGTCAGTGCATTGGAAAGGGGCAGTTTTAGTAGCAGAGTGGTCGTGTTTGTTTGTATTTTTGATTAAAGCTATCCAAATAAAAAGCCAAATTATAATTTATACATAAACATAAGTTAATACAAGTATTTTATATATTATTGAACTAAGTTTAGTTTTTCCAAGCAATTATTCAACTCTAATGCTATTGGTAGATTATTACCAATATTAGATGTAAACATTGGAATTTTTATTATAAAAAATTCCTCCTCATTTGTTCACTACCAGCTCATTTTCACACACATACAGAGCTGAACTATTGTATCGTCAGTACACCATGCCCCTCTATCATGTCCAGACTCCAGTGGTGATGGATCTGTCTCCGGCCCCAGGTCTGGCCCACGTGACCTGGAGGGTACAGCAGGTCAGTGGGAACCCACCTTGGCAGTGCTGCTTCTGCGTCACAGTCCGGGGACAGATGGTGCCAGGCTGGGCTGGGACCCCGGGCAGGGCAGGGTTCCCGCGATGAACAGCCCCTGATTTACGCTGCGGCTCCGGACTGAGGGCTGGGGTGCGGGAGGCTCCTTCTGCGCAGCTGACCCCTGCTGGTTGCAGGGTCATCCGTCGGGAGGGAGGAGAGGGGGTTGGGGGACGTCAAATGGGTGTCCGAGAACGGGTGGTTGTGTCATCCCAGGGGACTGGCTTCATCTTCTACCCCCCTGGTCAGCTGCAGGATCTGTGCAGCATGTGTGTGTAGGAAGAGCAGCCTGTTAAACACATTTAATGTAAACCCCCACCAGGAACATCAGCCATTACATTTATTGTCTTTAATGTTCAGCCTGATGTCATTGCACAATAGAAACGGTGTGTCTTTAAGAAAACTGTCAAAGTAGCACAGTTTTGTCCTTGTAATCTTTGCTGTTAATTGGAATAGTTCTACAAGTTTCACACTATAATAGCAAAACCATTATGGAAGGCAACTCAAAATCATCAGTCCTAATTACAGTTTAATAATCACAGAATAGCTTTTAAAAGCTCTCATGCTGGTCTGGTGATTAATCTTTCGCTGGTTTCATGTTGTAAAAAAAAACAGAGTTGAACTTAAGGTGATGGTAATAGGCTATTAAGGCCTTTTAATTGGAAACCCCCCCTTCGCCAGCTCTCTCTCACCACACCGCCAACTAATGAAATCAGTGAATAGCCGGCATGAAAGGGAAGGACAAAAGCAGAGATAGGCAGAATACAATATCCTTGTGTGGGAGAATTAGTTACACTCAGTAGTCTAAGTATTCAAAGCACAGAGCAAAAAAAAGGGGGCTAGAGGGGGATTAAGAGAAAAGTCCACACAGGTGGGTTGCTGGGAGGGAGGAGGGGTCACATGACAGGACGTTACCTCGTTTGATAAACAACAGCCGGGGCCCACAGGAAGGAGGAAGGGAGTTATTTTATAGGCGGAATTAACTGCTTCACCACATCAGGTATTCATTATGGTAAATCTCCCAGGTGTGCTGTACATGCAAGTAAAGTCAAACATCTTAGGAGGTTGGATTTTGATGCAAAACAACTTGGACTGATAGATATTTGCTTTGGACAGTAA